ACCCAATGATAAATGTAAACATATTGTATACCTAAAATGTAACAAGAAAAGAAGGGGCCTTGGGCTGGGGATTTAGCTCAGTGGTTTCACTGCCTGCCTTGCAGGTCCAAGGACCTGACTACTATCCCCGGTACCAAAAAAAAAAAAAGATGGGGCCTTTATAATACATATAGATAGATCGATAGATCTATAGATCGATAGATAGATATCTACATATCTATACCTTGTGGTATTAGAGATTGAACCCAGGTCCTTTGTTGCACTGAACTACATCCCCAGCCTTTTTTCCTTTTTTTTTTTTTGTACTGGGGATTGAACTCGGGTCCTTGTGCTTTCGGGGTAGGTGGCAGAACCACTGAGCTAAATCCCTGATCTTTGAGGTAGGATCTTACTCTAAGTTGCCCAGACTAGACTCAAACTTGGGATCTTCCTGCCTCAGCCTCCCAGAGTGCTGCGATTACAAACATGCAAGGTGGAGCCTTTAAAGATGAATAGATCAGCAACCTCCTAAAAGGCCTGGAGAGAAGGTTTTGGGCCTTTTTGCCCTTTTCCCCCTTGAGAACTCAGTAACAGACACCATCTTGGAAGAAAAGATCAGGTCCTCACTAGACCCCAACCTGATGGGGCCTTGATAGTGGATTTCCCTGTCTCCAGAACCGTGAGCAATGAATTTCTATTATTTATAAATTGCCCAGTTTGTGCTACGCTTAAAGCAGCAGGAATAGACTTAGTCTAAGAATAAGGCACACCCTAAGGAGGCTGACCATTCTGCTTTCTGGAAGCCCGGGCACCGGCTGGAAAGAAACCAGCAAAAACTCTGGGGGCCAAGATTCCCTCCTGCCCATGACCATAGTGAAGGCTGCTCCTGTCCTTGCTTCACACAGTGGATAACACAGCATCCAGAGGAGCAGGGCTCCGCTAGGACAGCACTGTCAGGGCTGTTTTAGTTTCTCCTCCCAGCTGTGCTGGGGAGTGATGCCGTGAACACATCTAAGAACACATCAGAGAACACGGGGAACAACCGTATGTTGAATGCTTATTATAATGGTAGCTACCGTGCCACTCAGGTTTTCTTTCTTCTTTCTCAACTTTTTATTGTTCAAAGTGCCAAACACGCAGAAGTATAAAAAGTAGTATAAGGGCTTGCCTGGCAAGGGCAAGGACCTCTCACACCCTCATCGCCCCATCTTGGTATGCAGTGGATGGGGCCAGCCTTATTTCATCTTTGTCCTTACCCTTTCCAGCTCTTCCATATTACTTGGACAAAAGTTCCAGAAATAGTATTTCAGTATGGATCTCCAAAAGATTAGGATTCTTACAACATAATGACATTATCATATATATATATATGATATATAAATATATATATCATATATATATATATTTTGATATTGTTTGTGATCCTGGGGATGACATTCATGCTAGGCAAGTGGTCTACCATTGAGGCTACTATGGTCTTACCTTTTTTCTTTTCTCTCTCTCTCTCCCTCTTTTCTTTTTTTTTTTTTGGTACTGGGGATTGAACTCTGGTCCTTGAGCCTGTGGAACAGGTGGTGGAACCACTGAGCTAAATCCCTGGCCCTCTCCCTCTTTTCTGATACTAGACATTGAACCCAGGGCCTTCACACTGAACTGTATCCTTAGACCTCTTTTACTGATTTAATTTTCATTTTTTACTTTGTTTGTTGGTTTGGTTTGTTTTGTTTTGTTTTGAGACAGGGTCTCACTATGTAACCCAGACTGGCCTTGAACTCACTATGTAGCCTAGGCTGGCTTCCAACTCATGGTGGTTCTCCTGCCTCAGCCTCCCAAGTGCTGGCATGACAGGCGTATGCCACCACATCCACTTTTTTTTAACTTTTTTGAAATAGAGTCTCAGTAAATTCTCATCGTCTTTGTAACTGTGGTACTCGGCATGATGCTTGGTCTGTGGTATTTGCTTCAGGTCCACATATTATGCCTGAGGAGGGTTCCCCAGACCTCTGCTGTGGTTCTTGCTGTTGATCTAACCTTTTCTAAAGTTCAGTGTCTTTTTCAAAGGAGCATCCTCCCAACACTTCTCCCATCTTAGTTGGGAGTTGACCTAGTCTTTTTTTTTTTTGGCACCGGGGATCGAACTTGGGACCTTCTGCTTGCAAGGCAGGTGGTGGAACCACTGAGCTAAATCCCCCTGGCCCTTGACCTAGTGTTTTCAATCTGAAAGTTTTTCAAAACCACTGGAGCCAGGTTTTGGGTTTTTTCTTTTTTTAAGATTCCAGGATTGATATAAAACAGAAAGACTGAGGAAGGAAAAGCCACTCTTGGTCAGCAGGCACTCGGATTAATGTAGTAAAAGTGGTACAGAATTTAAAAGAAAAGGGTATTATCCTGGTCCTCTCATGGGATTTGGCCCACAACTTCCTGATTCTCTGTGGAGGTCCTTGGCATAGGTCTACAGTTTTCCAAACTGTAACTAATACAGTTTAAGCCATAGTTTTGTTTTGTTTGTTTTTAAGCCATAGTTTTTAAGTATTTCTTTTACCTTTGAGCCCCTTCTTTAGGTTTATTTATATGTCACACTGAGAAAAGATTTGACAGGAAGGTGTCAGGCAGGGCTCTGGGGCCCAGCTGTGTTGGGCTGGCTGCAAGCTCGCCCTCACATGTGGAGGATGCAAAGGTCGCCATCCTGGTGCAATCTCCCATCATTCAACAATGGGGTTTTTTTCCCCCTGTACTGAGGATTGAACCCAGGGCCCTTTCCACTGAGCTACATCCTCAGCCCTTTTTCTTCTTCTTTTTTTTTTTTTTGGTACTGGGGATCGAATTTGGGACCTTGAGCTTGTGAGGCAGGCACTGGAACCACTGAGCTAAATCCCTGGCCCCCTTTATTCTTCATTTTGAGACAGGATCTCACTAAGTTGCTCAGTTGCTCAGGCTGGGCTTGAACTGTCGGGAGCATTTCTACGTAAATTTTGGGGGAAAATCATTTCATAATTAAAGTATGACTAGGGCCAGGGATTTAGCTCAGTGGTTCCACTGCCTGCTTCACAAGCGCAGGGACCCTAGTTCGATCCCCGGTACCGGAAAAAAAAAAAAGCTATAAAGTATGACTATAGCTGTCTAAGGCTCAGTGTTGCCTTGCCCGAGAGCTGGCTGTGGTGTGTGGAAACATAACTCCAGTCACAGCTGTGGCCTCAACGGCAGGATTACATCAGCTGAGGACATCCTGGTTCCTAGAGAACCCAGGAGTAACACAGAAGAGAAAAGTTTCACCCGGGGAGGAATGAGTTCCTCCCACCTACTGAGGTGGGAATGCGCTCCTTTCCGCCCTCATCAGCATGAGATTTGCATTGGTACAGGTTCAGACAGAAGATCGCCATCCCCTAAGTCACCCGATACTCCCTCCAATCACTGTGTCCCCAGTAAACAGTGGCCAGTTTAGAGAGTCCTTGTCTCTGCCCCCTCTGAGGCACTGACCTCCCAGCCCCCACATGCTTTGAATTTACCCGCCTCCATTGTCTCTTTTTTTTCTTTAGCCCTCGCTGTCTCCCTTTCTAGCCAGTTGAAGGAAATCAGCCTCCGATATTGAAGTTTGGATCCTCCTTCCTCACCCTCCCACAGTGCTGGGATTACAGACATGCAGCATCACGTCCAGACTCCGTTCAGCAATATTTATTGAATTGCTACTACGTGTTAGATGCCAGGGGCTACTTCCATTTTCCTGAAGTTTATGTCATAGGGGTGGAACCAGGGAGAGAAACAGTCCTCTTGTAAGCCACTGGTTCTCAAATTTCGATTTTCATCAGAATTCCCTGGAGTATTTACTAAAATACATAATGCCTGATTCCAAGGTCAAGAGTTTGGCCCGAGAATTTGTGCACTTAAGAAGTGGCCAGGGGACGATAGTGCTGGTCCAGAACCACACTTTGAGGAATACCTAGGTGAGCAATCAAGCGCATTACCTTCAGGTAAGGATAAGCACTGTTTAGAAAATGAAACAGTAATGGACCGGAAAGGTACTAGGGTGACCATGGGCTGGGGCACCAGGGAAAACCTCTCTGGGAAGCTGAGATTTGGTCTGAGCCCTGAGTATGCAAAGAAACCAACCCCTGAGGGAAAGTGCTCTCCAGACTGACAGCAAGTGCAGCGGTCTGGAGCAGAGAGCAGCAGAGAGCAAGTGTAGCGTATCTGAGGAACAAGAGGAGACTTTGAAAGTACCTATATAGATGCAGAGCATTTTGGGGGTTTGTTTGTTTGTTTGTTTTTTGAGACAGGGTCTCACTATGTAGCCCAGGCTGGACTTGAACTGGCAACGATCCTCCTGCCTCAGTCTTCCGAGTGCTGGGATTATAGGCGAGTACCACCACACTCAGGATGCAGAGCATTTCAAAGGGAAAAGAGTGACACATCATTGTCATACAAGTAGAAAGGAAGCAGATCATGGGGGACCTTGTAGACTACTATAAAAAGATTAGTTTGGGGGGCTGGAGGTGTAACTCAGTGGTAGAGCACTTGGCTAGCATGCATGAGGCCCTGAGTTCAATTCCCAGGATGGCAGTAATCAGCATCATCATTAGGGTGTGGTGGCGCACATCTGTAATCCTACCACTCTGGGAGGCTGAGGCAGGAGGATCGCAAGTTCAAGCCCAGCCTGGGCAATTTACCAAGACTGTCAGAAAATAAAAAAGAAAAAGGATCAGAGATGTAGTTCAGTGCAAAATGTTCAATCCCCAGTACCACAAAATCAATAATTCCACTTTTGGGCAGGGCATTTAGCTCAGTGATTCTGGCGCCTGCCTTGAAAACACAAGGTCTCGAGTTCAATCCCTGGTGCCAAAATAATAATAATAATAATAATAATAATAATAACTCTACTTTTAAAAGGGCAATGAAAGGGCTTTGTGGGGAGGTTTAAGTAGAGTATTCATATCACTTTATCTTACATTTTATTTGTTTTGTTTTGTTTTTTGGCATTGGGGATCGAACTCTGGACCTTGCGATTGCAAGGCAGGCAGCAGAACCAGTGGGCTAAATCCCCAGCCCTTATCTTACATTTTACATATAAATTCTTTGCTGTGAGTGTCTTTTTTGCTATCGTGTGACATACCTTGAGGGGTAGTGGCTGCAGGGATTGGGGGATAGAGGGGAAAGGTTGTATGTGAAATGAACAGTACAGCTAGGTGTGATGGCGCACACCTGTAATCCCAGCACTCAGGAGGCTGAGGCAGGAGGATCTCCCCAAATTCAAGCCCAGCCTGGGCAACTTAGCGACTTTGCGAATCCCCATCTCAAAATAAAACATCAAAAGTGCTGGGGATACAGCTCCGTGGGAAGGCCCGAGGATCACTCTCCAGTACCAAAATGAATAAATAAAACGTCACCATGATAATCTGTCACCTTCCTGAAGAAGTGAAGAACAGTCTACATTCTTCCTCAACCCAGATTCCATTTTCTGGCTGGTGACGGGTTTTGTGTAAGTGTGTGGGGGTGTTTGTGCGTAGGTGTGTGTTGGTTGACTTTTTTTAGCATATCCCCTCTCCTCTTCAGTTCACTTTTTAAGTATCCCCCGCCCATCGAATGGAATGCAGGGTTTTCAGCAGCTCGGCTAAGAATTATTTTCCCTTTGTGAAGCAAATGGAGTGTGGGCGGTGGCAGCGCTGCAGTTGTCTGGGGAGACGGTTGGGGCCGTGGGTCTCCAGGGCCTTGGTTGCTGGGAGAGGTGACTCACAAGTGTTCAGAGCAGCTCTTGCCTGGTGCACCAAAGGCCACCATCAGTTTTTTTCTGTGCAGTCTTTTGCACTGACTTGTTTTTATTGTTGTTTCATCCCTAGCGGAACGAAATGCAGTCAACACAGCGGATTTGATCTGACAAGGGGAAAGGGCCAGGAACAGCTGTAAATCGTCAGAACTGCGATCACAGAGACAGTCAGGCGGCCTGCTCTGCCATCCGAGGGAGCTGGATGTGGAACAGAAATCACTTCTGAGAAGGTCAGCCACACACTTCGAATCCCCTGGGGGAATTGCTTTCTGCCTTCAGCTGTACAATGCTTAAATAATAATAATATTAAAAGCTGGGAAGCTGTTTTTCCTGGTAAAAATAACACTGAAATTCTTGCAGCATCCAAGAGGATTCAAAGGTCAGCTCTAAGGTCCTGCTAGGCCACCAGGACCCGAGTCCTTGCACACCACGTGGCTCGGCCCAGCTCCTCCACTGGGGCTTCCTCAGCGCTGTGCTCCGAGGGACTCTCTGCTAGCTTCCTCACTGTGCACCAGAGGACTTAGTATTATTCTGGCAACTGTTCTGTGAGTTTTCAGTTATTTTTAAAACAAGCACACAATCAGAACCACCGAGGGCGCGTCTGCACCTAGTACGTCCGCACCTTTCAGGTCTGCTTCACCTGATAACCATTCCTGTGACCTTCCAAAACCACTGGCCTTTTCTTGGTCTACTTTTCCTTATTGCAAAAGGAAAGCTGTGGATATTAACCTACAATCATGTCGATTTTCTGCACAGGCTTCTATCGTGCCCATGTGCGGTTATAGTCCACAGGCAGACAGCCCAGTGCCAAGGCTGGCTGACGGCAGACTCATCACTACATAGCAAAGGGCTTATGAGATTCTCACCTCCATGAATGTTCACTGGAATTAACTAAAGGTGCTTATTGTTTTATTCAATAAATTTTATTTTATTTTATTTTATGCCAGCCCCCTCCCTTCCCTAGGTACAGAAGCTTTGTTTACATTTTTTCCTTCTATTTTTCCTTTTTCTTGTCCCTTCCTTCCTCCCCCCACCAAGGTGTCTTTTTAAAAGGCAGACATCTGCCAGGTGTGGTGGTGCACACCTGTAATCCCAGCACCCGGGAGGCTGAGGCAGGCGGATTGCTGTGAGTTGGAGGCCAGCCTGGGCTACATAGTTTAAGGCCAGCCTGGAATACATAGTGAGACCCTGTCTCAAAAACAAAACCAAAACAAAACAAGACAAAACCAAATGCAGATTCCTGGAAAATCCCCCTTAATAGTGGCTTAAAGCCACTGGAGTTTGTCTGGAGCCACTCACTAGAAGTCCTGAAGTGGACAGACCCAGGCAAGGCAGCCTGCCAGCCTCCTTAGGTGGCATGACCAGCATAGCACAGGGTCCAAAGCCAGGGAGAGCGGTGGGAGATGAAGAAAAGACCAAGAAACCAAGAAAGAAGGATACACACCAAGATTATACTTTATAGCTGGGACCAGGTGGGACCATAGCCTGAGGAGCTAACAGCTGCCTGGCGTCCAGCGCGCTCTTCAGTTATAGTGTTAGACAAACGAGAGAAGTGGAGTAACTCGTGCCGCGCGCCCCACATGGCTAGGCTGCTGTGATTGTCTCGTGATGAGGCATGTGCAGAAAGGAACAAGGAGACGTAATGCAACTGTCCCCGGGGGCTGAGCCGTCCAGGATCTAATCTATGCAGCAGAAGAGGGCAGGGATTAAGGTCCTGCTTGTTGCCTTAGGGTTACAATGTGGCTGCTGCCTCTCAAACAAGCCTGGCACAACCCCACACATTTGTCTACATTATCTTTTCTCTTTCCTGAGTCTTCTTCCTCCATGTGTCTTCATGGCCTACTCCTTTCTTCATGAATGTGCTCCATGCCACCTTCTCAGTGACGGCTGCACAGTGCGCGCACACACAGACCCTCACCAGTGGCTGGGAAGCCTCGGCCCCTCCCTGCTTTCCTGCATTGATTACCACCTGCAGTGCATTATGCTTTCCTTGTTTAGTGTCTTTCTCCCCACACTGGACTGTTAGCACCATGAGGACAGGGACTCCTGTCCTATTTACTGCTGTCACTGGCACATAGAACAGTGCCTGGAACATACGGGTAAGAGGAGCTTAATAAATATGTGTTGAAGGGATGAACGGACTTCCAGGAGGTGGATTTGAATTTTAGGCAAGAAAAAGAAAGGTGGAGATGTATGGGTGATGTTTATAGCTAGACGTCAAACTCTTCCAGAAATCCCTGACAGATTCCCACTGATCTCTTCTTAGCCAGAATCACATTACAGTTGTTGGAATGAGCACTTTTACCTGGGCATACACCTTCCCTTAGCACAGTCAGTAGTGATTGATTGATTGATTGGTTTCTTGAGACAGGGTCTTGCTATGTAGTCCAGGCTGGCCTTGGAGTCCAGGCTGGTCTTGAACTCGGGATTACAGGTGTGTGACACCACACTCAACTTTGTGGTTATTCTTTTTGTTTTTTGTGGGTATCAGACTCCCAGAGGATGCTAGGCAAGTGCTTTACCACGGAGCTACCCCCAGACCTCACAATTATTTTTTAAGGAAGGAGAAGAGAAGAGTGGATATCAGAAAGTCACCCTGTAATGTCTACTACATAGGTTTACCAGGGATAATGATTTTGCCACAGGTAACCTCTCGACCACATGTAAGAAGAAAAACGGCTGGAGGGAGGGGATGAGCCCAAATTAAAATTACCTTAAGCGACCCTGAGTGATGGACACAGTGGCTAAGAAGCCAAGAACATCTCTTGTACTGGCTGCCCACAGCTCACTCTGCATCCAGCCCAAGTGCCATTGCCTCCACCCCACCCTGCCCAGTGCTGGGGACCGAACCCAGGGCCTTGCAACCACTAAGCTACCCAGCCTCAGGGCCCTGCCGCCATCTTTTTAGAGAATACCTTTATTCTTACTACTACCGCCACGAGCACCACCCATTCAAACGGTGGGACTCTTGGGTTTCATTCCTACATCCTGTCCCCACCAGACTGACCCAAACTGCTGAATCAGAGTCCCATTTCCATGAGTTGGGCAGGCGTGGTGTGACTGTCAGCAGGGAGCCTCTGACAGACAGGTCTTCTGTGTCATGACCTGGGGCAGCTGAGGAAGAGCACAGACACCGCAGTGTGTGAGCTAGAGGGGTCGTGGTGCCTGAATCCTGGGCTAGGTTATTCCTGTGTCTTGTTCTGTCCTTGTCCTTATTGAGAAACTGTTACCGAAGGACCCAGGCCAAGGGCGAGCGCCTACCCTGGCTGCTTTGACAGGGCTCTGGAAAGCCATCTGTCTGCCCTGTGCATGTGATCCCACAGCTAAGGGAACCAATGGGCGGTTTTAAAATACAACCAGGTCTGGGGATCTAGCTCAGCACAAAAGGCCTTGGGTTTGAGCCCCAGCCCTACAAAAATAAATAAAATAAAATAGAACCCATAGGTCAAGGATCTGGAGAGCTGGTTTTATTCCCAACCTTGTCAGTGGAGAGAAATCACTTTATCCCTCTGTCCCTGGCTCCCACTACTTGTGAAACATGTAGGGGACTCTGAGTTTTCCTGAGCCGTCCAATGGCTAGAGAAGTAGTGTGACAAAGAGGAAACCACACAGGCTTGAGTCTGGAAGTACAGCTTTGTTGCTGTTTCTTTGTGGTTTTGTTTTTGAGATCCAGAGGACTCACTGATACTGTGCTACTGAACTACATCCCCAGCTCTTCTTTTTTATTCTGAGTGAGCTCCACTCAGCTGTCCAGGCTGGCCTCACACTGCCTGCCTCCTGCCTGGAAGTCCCTCCAAGAAAGCCACCAGCACGACAACCACTGGGTGAGCCTCGGTGCCCCTCAGGCTCAGAGGTTGAGGCTCTGGGCTTGTTTGTTAGCAGTAGCTACTTTTTATTTCCTCTAAGGCCTTCACATTACAGAGAACCAAGTCTGGTAGTTTTCTGGTTTGTTTTTTTCTTTATTTTGCGGTGCTGGGGATGGAGTCCAGGTCCTGGCACATGGTGGGCAAGCGCCAGTCTTTTAAATGACTTGAATTCAGCATGCCAGGCACACCTGTGTGATTACCAGGCATTATTTCATTATTTCCTGCTTTAACACCTCTTGGCTGAAGAGTGGGGGGCAGGGGGAGGTATGACACTGACCGCATGTGGCCAGTTCTTTCCCAAGGTGCCAGTAACTGCAGCTGGTCCCTGAACCCCTACTGGAAAAACAAGGAAACAAGAGAAGGAAAATAATGAAGATGGCAGTAAATGTAGGAAGAAACAAATGAAAGAGACATAGGTAAATAACTCCGCAACGATACTCATTCCTTTATTGTCAACTGTGTTCGTTTGGACAGGGCTGGGGCCTGTGGCTGCAGGCAGTACCAAGCTGCAGTGCACTCCTGCTCAGCAGAGGCCTCCATCCTAAGTCAAGGGGACAGAAGGTAATGTTCTCTCTATATATTTGTATATTACATATGTCCTGTATAGTCATATGTATAGAGTGACAAGAATGGGCCACTGCATTAACTGTTGTCCTAAATAAAGACCATAGCAACAAACGTGGAAATTTGGTCCTAAACAAGGCCCTTATTTTGTCAATCCAATGTGTGATACATCAAAAGAAAAGGAGAGAGAGAGAAGAAGAGACTGAGACCCAGCCACCCCCAGGGGCCCTGTTCCCGGCACATCTTACGTTGAGTGTCATGTCACACACACACACACACACACGCACGCACGCACGCACGCACGCACGCACGCACGGACACAAAACCGCAGGCAGGGGGTTCTCCTCCGACCACACCTTGCGCCCAGCCCTTAGACTGGGGGTGGTGAGGTTGGGCGTATTGTGCTCTAAGACTGTGAGGGACATGTGAGCAGACAACGCAGCGTCAGGTGTCCAAGGGAGAAATGGGCCGACAGGTGCTGCTTCATCCCCAAACGAGACAGAGGTCAGCAGGAGAGGCCGCACCACGCGGCCCTGGAGGTCTCTCAACGGCCAGGCCTCTTGGGGGACCACCACGCACAACTGCCATCCCAGCCACAGTCAAACCTCTGATCTGAATCCTGAGTCTCAATTAACCTGTCAGGCTCTGATGAAGACAGTGATTTTCCTTGAAGGACAGGAGCAAATGGCGACTGAGTGGCTCAACCATGTAGTCCGGAAATTACAGCAGAAAAGAGAGCATCGAGGTAAATCAAACAAAACTTGGATCCTCAGAGAAGGACCTGAATGGTGCAAGAAAGACTTCTCTCCTGGAGGGAAGAGCACGTCCGCCCTCCTGTCATGCACCAAACCAGAGCAGATCTGTCAGCTCTACCCAGCGGCAGGACTGCTTTCAGTCTAGGGCCAAGAGACTCCCACCCTAAAACCCTAACTCGACATTACCTCTCACCCCTCTGCCAAAATGTGTACTACAAAGGTAATCAAGGTATTGATCTTATGTCCTTTGTATTCAAGAATTTCCTAATTTTTCAACCAACATAAAATTATATAGCAAACTATTAAATGTTTACAGCAGAAATTACAATACCTTCTATAAGAAATCTGTGTATTTATCAATGTTTTCTGAGTAGATCCAAGGACTCTACTCAAAAGACAGAGAAAGGATCAGGGATATATTTCCAAGAAGCATATTAGGAAAGTATGGAGGAGCCCAGTGTCCCTGTGGAACTGAACGGGTTTTTGTTTTGTTCATTTTATTTTATTTTATTTTTTGGTACCAGGGATCAAACTCAGCACCTTGCATTTTTGAGGCAGGCAGTGCTAAATCCCTGGCCCTTGTTTTGCTTATTTTTGTTTGAGACAGGATCTCACCGTGGAGCTCAAGTTGGCCTGGAATTCTCTATGCAGCCCAGATGGGCCTCAAACCTGCAATTCTCCTGCTCCAGCCTCCCAAGTGCCGCGATTACAGGTGTGTGCCACCATGTCTGTCAGAACTTGATAATTTTAACTCAAATTTAACTTCTAAAAAAAAGGTAATTTGGGCCAGGGATTTAGCTCAGTGGTTCCGCTGCCTGCCTTGCAAGCACAAGGACCCGAGTTCGATCCCTGGTACAAAAAATAAAAAATAAATAAAAAAGGTAATTCTAGGCAATTCTGTGAGGCTGGATATGTGTAAAGGCATTTTAAAAACTAAAGGATGAAAATTTTTGTCTTGCTTGTAGAAAATAAAGTCATTTTTTTTCCTTGGAAGCAATTTACTTATCACCTGCATACCTGGAGACATGGTTGCCTCCAGGCTGGCTCCATACCTGACTGTCACAAAGGAAGGCAGGAGGGATGAATTTCATCAGTGGTAAAGAATGGGTCTGTTTTCAACAAAATAGTGCACCAAAAGTATGACTGGGAAACAGGGCTAACAGACAAAGCTAGCAAAGATTCTGCCTGGCTCTCTGTTTCCTGTGCTGAACACAGAGGGAAATTTCGATACCTTGGTTAGACAGGGGTACAATGACCCTGGTCCCTTCTCGGCGACCTGGGACCTGTTGGCTGCAGGGGACATCGGGCACAGCAGTTAGAAGACACATCTCACAAGTGAGGGGTTGGTTTGACGACTTGTTGACCAAAGGAAGCTCGCAGAGGGCACAGAGACCAGGAGACCCAGAGGAGGAACTTCCCTTGATGACCGTCTACCCGTCCGGGTCCACTTCCTGCGGTCCCGACATGGCATCAACCGCTTGGTTCATGACTCCTATCCAAGGCTGGGAAGCGGGCAGGAAGCTGGGAGTTCTTGCTGAAGCGGCTGGAGCGTTGGTGAGGCCATCGGAGTCCTTGAAAGAGCCGGACAGGCTGGAAGAGGTCGCCTGAGCCCAGGGAGTAGAGACAGCCCTGTCTGCCAGGGGCACAAGCTCGGCACTGCTATGTCTCGTCCTCAGCGGACACCTGGGCAGCTTTCTCGTCCCAGAAAGTACTTAGAGGATGCTAGAGGCGAGGGCAGAGATGGAGACGATGGCGGGCGGTGAACACTGCGCGGTCCTCAGGCACTGGCGCCTCCCTTAGGGGCAGGTGACACAGGAGGCGCTGGAGGTCTGACCGGGGTTTCCAGTCTGGAGCGAAGGAGGCTGCGCAGTGGCCACAGCGGCCCGGGCGGCTCCCGGCAACGCCTGGCTCCACGAATAAATAACAGGAATTAAATAAAGGAGGCGCAGAGTGGCACCCCGTTACACACACGCACGCGCACATGCACGCACACCCACACGCACACCAAGCTGCAGGGGGGATGAGCCGGGCTGGCTGCCGGGCAGCCCGACCGCGACCGTGAAGCTGTCACTCGCGGTCCACCACTGTCGCGGGGTGCAGAGGCGCGGAGGCCAGGGAGGCATGTGTGGCGGAGGGCGGAGGCCGCTGGGGACTCTGGCACCTGCAGGGTTGGGGACGAGGGCAGTGGGCAGGGAAATGCAGGAGACAGAACAGTCAGGTCTTTACTTTCCCTTCCACAGCCCATTTGGGTGCCAGCAAAACCCTCGTCAGCCTCAACCAGCCGTGCAGTCCCCTGCCTGAGCCCACCGCTCCCCTGACCACGGTGGTACTGACCAGGATCTGGACTTCCGGACTTTCGATGTGGCGGGTCTTTCCAGAAAGCTGTCCAACCTCATGAGCCTCTCCATGTGTAGTGCACGGGGGTCTTGCTCTTGGTCATGAGAAAACTCCATTTCAAAGATAGCCGGAGGGGACACGTCCAGCTCCAAAAACATGACATTTTCAGCCTGTGACGCAATCACGTGTCAGATGTGAGCAGTGGGCTTGGTGACTGAAACCTTCCAGGTGCTCAGTCAGTCTCAGATGCTGGCCCGGGCAGGGACTTAAGAGGAAGCAAGGGCTTAGGCACCCTCTCCCTTGGGTTTCTCTTCCCTCCCAGCTTGGACTTCCCAGCTTCTTACCCTGTACCTGGGGTGGGACCCCATTGCTATGGCAACCCGAGCATACTGGCTGATAGGCCTCTTGTAGCCCACTGCGGATGTTGGCCGCTTCTTCATTTGGCTGTTATTCCTGTAGGGAAGAGGGGATATTAGAATGGCTTCTCTTCCGACACAAAGAGCAGAACCAAGGACTACACAGGTAGGGAACTTTCAGTTGAAAATGATATAACAGAAGAAAGTACACGTGTCTTCACTCTTGTTCTAAATTTTTTTTCCACAGTAAAAAGGGCTGACGACAGGCTGGAATGAAGAAGGAACCCTAGACTCATTTTAGCTTTCAGATTTATATACTGGCAAGGGCCAGGGATTTAGCTCAGTGGTTCCGGCGCCTACCTCGCAAGTGCAAGGTCCCGAGTTCGATCCCCAGTACCAAAAAAAAAAAAACCCCAAAAAACACAGATGTATATACTGGCTTCACATACTACACAAAACCATCAATGACTGGTGGCTCTGCTTTCATTTTCCCTCATAGGAATTGGCATAATAAAATGATTAAAAACTCAGGCTTAAGCTGGGTGTGGTGTCATATGCCTGTAATCCTAGCACTCTGGGAGGCTGGGGCAGGAGGATCAGGACTTCAAGGCCAGCCTGGTCAACTTGCTGAGATCCTCAGAGAGAGAGAGAGAGAGAAACAGAGTGCCTTTTAAAAAATTTATATATTAATTGGTACATTTTAAGTATACAATACATTTACATTTATCATTGGGTGTTTGTACCTGTACATGATGTATCTTAGTTCTTATTTTTTTCCCCATTACCTGTGTGCCCTTCACCCCCACCACCCTTCCTTATTTACTTTTTTTTTTTTGAGACAGGGTCTTGCTATGTAGTTCAGGCTGGCCTTGAACCTGGCTGGGATTTCAGTGTGCAGCCAGCTAAGAGAGAGACAGATTCTTGTAGCCCCTGTAACACCGATGTCTTATAGCTGGCAGGGGTCTTGGGAAACTAACAAACAAAAAACTAAGACTTGGAATGAGAAGGAACAAAGTTGGAGGTCTCATACTTCCCAGTTTCAAAGCTTACTACACACCTATAATGAGCAAGACACTGGAACTTGCATAGGTCTGGGCGTGTAGCTCGGTAGGGTAGGACTGGGGCTCCAGAAGCAGTTGGTACAATTATGGTCAAATGATTTTCCACAAGGAGGTCAAGATACTTCAATGAGGAGAACAGACCTTTCAACAAATGGTGTTGGGGCAACTGGATGTCCATGTGCAAAAGATATATAAAATAACCATAGGTAATAATATATTATTATTATAATGTGCCAGTCCAGGCTGCCCTTGAACTCACTATGTAGTCCAGGTTGGCCTTGAACTCATGGAGATCCTCCTGCCTCAGTCTCCCCAGTGTTGGGATTACAGGCATGCACCACCACGCCTGGCAAAATTAATTTTCATAACCTTAGATCAGGCAATGGTTTCTTAGCTATGATAACAAAAGTTCAAGCAACCAAAGGAAAAATTACTGGGACTCCAAAACTAAAAATTTTTCTGCTTCAAAGGACATCAGAGTGGGCCAGGGATGTGGCTCAGTGGTGCCGTGCCTGCCTGGCAAGTGCAAGGTCCTGAGTTTGATCCCCAGTACCAAAAGAAAAAAAGAGAGAGCAAGCAAGAAAGGAAAAGAAATGGATGATAAGCATGTGAAAAGGTGCTCAACATCATTAGTTACTAGGGAAATGAAAGGCTAGGGGGATGTAGCTCAGTGCCTACCATACAGAAGGGCCTGGGTTCGATCCTCAGCCCTGCCTGGAAAAAAACCAAGAAGAAATTCTGAAAATATCAGAGATGTCCCTTCAGATCCACTAGGATGACTATAATTTTAAAAGACAGGCAATAATGTGTTGGTGAGGATGTGGGGAAACTAGAAGCCAGGTGTATAGTTGGGAGGAATGGGAAGTGGTACAGCTGCTTTGGAAAAGCTTGGCAGTTTTACAAAAAGTTAAACTAGCACTTCCACTACTAAGCATATACTTAAGAGAACTGAAACCCAGGCGTGGCGCATGCCTGAAATCCTAGCACACAGGAAGCTGAGGCAGGAGGATCACCAAGAGTTCGAGGCCAGTCTGAGCTACACAGTGAGTTCAAGATCAGCCTGAACTACACAGTGAGACCCTGTCTCAAAAAAACAAAAGGGAGGGGATTGAAAATATATGTACATAAAAGACAACAGCAGCATTATTTATAACAGACCCAAAATGCCCATCGATGGGTGAATAAAGAAAATGTGGGCCACCCACAGAATTCACTATTACTTGCAACAGAACAGAGGTGAAGGGCTGATACAGGCTGCAAGGTGGATGACACTTGACAAAACAGCAGACCCTCAATTTGTTCCCGAGGGCTGGCTGTAACTCAAGTTGGTCAGCTAAAGGCGCGGGCTCCTCTACACAGCCTTCAAAGTCTCTCTCCGGTACACAGGCAGATTTCAGTGTCCTCAGAGAGACACTGGCCCAGGACTTCTCAATTAACCCCATACAGGAAAGGATGCTGTCATGTTCCTTCCAGAACTCTTTAAGGGTTACCTCTGTATCTGAAGCCATCTGGAAACACAAGCGCCTGGCATCAGGGTCATAACTCAAGACTTTGGTCCTACGTCAAAATTAAATTACAGTCATAACCCAAGTTGTTTGTATGTCAGGCCAGTCATAACTCAAGGGTCCACTGTATTTTGCTAATGAAAGGCACCAGATCACTTTTTTTAATTTATTTTTTTCTGGGTGCTGGGGATCGAACTCAGGACCTTGCACTTGTGAAGCAGGCGTGGCACCACTGAGTTTAAGTCCTCGGCCCTCCAGATCACCTTCTGTGTGACTTCATCCTATGAAATACCTGGCAGAGGCCAAGCCACAGGAACAGGAAGCAGCCGGTACCGACTAGGACGGGGAAGGCCGCAGAGTGCGTGGGGTGACGGCTAACGGGCTCGAGGTTTCTTTTTGGAGCGATGAAAATGTCTTGGAATTAGATGATGGTGATGGTTATAGAGCTCTGTGAATATACTACAGTCTACTCCGTTGTACACTTTAAAATGTGAACTACATCTCGACAAAGCTGTTATTTAAAGAGCAAACAGAGCAAAACTCAAAGCTTGGCTTTTAAAAAACCCATATTATTTGACCCCAACTCCCAATTCTAGGATTTTCCCCAAATGAAATAATCAGGAATAGAGACAAAAATTTACCTGCAAGGGTGTTTGCTGAAGCATTATGATTGCAAAAAAAAAATAGAAACAACCCAAATGTCCACCAATAGGGACCAGTTAAATTATTATTCAGCCATTTGAAGGAATAGTATATAGTCATGAAAATTTGTGTATGGCTTGATGTAGCCATGAAAAGGTTTCCATGATATGTTAAATAAAGAAATGGCACTTTTGTTTCATTATTGTTTTTTGTTTGCTGAGATAGGGTCTCAATCTGTAGTCCAGGCCAGCCTTGAACTCACCAGGTAGCCAAGGTTGCTCTTAAACTTGGGATCTTGGGCCGAGGATTTAGCCCAGTGGCACTGTGCCTGCTTCGCAAGTGCAAGGTCCTGAGTTTTATTCTCAGTACCACACACACACAAAATCTTGGGATCTTCCTGCCTCAGCCTTCCCAGTGCCGGCACTACAGGCCTACACCACCATGGCCAGCTTTTTATTTTGTTCTTTTTTGGATTATTTAATTTTCTTTCTTTTTTTCGTTTTTTTTTTTTTTGGTACTGGGGATCAAACACAGGACCTTGTACTTGTGAGGCAGGCGGCGGCACCACTGAGCTAAATCCCCAGCCCAGATTATTTAATTTTCTAATGTTCATTTTATTTTTAATTTTAAAAATGTATATATTTTAAATTTTTGATACATTTCCTGATACATAATGATTATATTCATGTACACATAACATCTTAATATTTTTACTTCCCCTCCTCCCCTCTTTTTTCTTTTTTTTGTACCCGGGATTGAACTCAGGACCTTGCACTTGCAAGGCAAGCATGGTGCCACTGAGCTAAATCCCCGGCCCCTTGTTTTTTCGGGGGAGTACTGGGGATCGAACTCGGGACCTTGTGCTTGTGAGGCAGGCAGTGGAACCACTGAGCTAAATCCCCGGCCCTATGTTTTGTTTTTTCTTGAGACAGGGTTTTGCTATGTAGTTCAGGTTGGCCTTGAACTCACGATGTAGCCCAGGCTGGTATTGAACTCATGGTGATCCTCCTGCCTCAGCCTCCTGAGTGCTGGACTACAAGGCATGTGTCACCACCCCTGGCTTGTTTTGCTCTTAAAGAAACATTTGCTTAGGAAAAATTCTGAATATTCAGCAAAATGTCAAAAATCATTACAGTATCTTTGGATTGTGCAATATGGAGATTTTTATTTTCTTTATGTCTCTCTTTTTTTTTCTTTTTTTGCAGTGCTGGGGATTGAACTCAAGGTCTTGCTCATGCTAGACTAGCGCTCTACTATTGAGCTACCCAACCCCTTCTTCATGCCTTTGCAATATCTGAAGATTTTTACAATGAATACATATAACTTTATACCCCAAAAATCATTTCAAACATTTAGCGGACCATAGGAAACAATATATACCTGTATGCCAACTATCGAGCCTTGTTCAAGCTTAAGACTTGTTTTACGTGTGTCTTTTTTTTTTTCTACCAGTATCCCGGATTGACCCTAGGATCACTCTCCCACTGGACTACATCCCCGACACCTTTTGGTTTTAAATTTATCTTACTTTTATTTTGGGACAGGTTCTCACTAAGTTGCCCAGGCTGTATTGAACTTGCATCCTCTTGCCTCAGCCTCCCAAGTGGTGGGATTTCAGGCATGTGCCACTGTCAAATCTTTTTGAAGAAGTAAAATATGAATAGCTTTTAAGCCTCCCATTTCCTCTGCCTCCCTGGAGTTAATCATTCTCTTGAGTCTGGTGCTTATCAATACCATGGATTTTCTTACTTATTTTTATGTATGTGTTCATAAATAATATATGCTATTTGTATGCCTATTTCTAAATATTGAACTGTCTGGTGTATGAACTATACTTTTTTTTAGCTCAAGATTTATTTCAGATTTACCTATACAGCTCTAGATTATTG